CAGAGGCGGGAGCTTGCAGGTAGCTGAGATGCGCCACTGCATCCAGCCCTTGGGTGACGACAGAGCCGAGACTCCTGTCTCAAAAAAAAAAAAAAAGAAAAAAATAAAAATTAGGCAGGACTGACGGCAGTGAGGATTGCTTGAGCCTGTGGCGGTTGGTTGGAGGCTGCATCGTGGGCCTATGAGTCGCTGCCACTCGCTACTGCCAGTCTGAGCTGACAGACCCTGTCTCTCGCAAAAAAAAAGGAAAAAAGCATAAAAGATCCTGTCAGTAGCACAGATAACCACAGTAATGTGGGGCTGTGGGGCCTAGCAGAGGGGCCACATCCCTTGACCATTAGACAGAAGGCTTCCTAAAGATAGTAACAGTTGACGCAGGTCTTGAGGAAAGAGTAGGAACTGTTCAAGTGGAGAGGGATCTGGAGTTAGTGGGGCAATTCTGGGCCAGCAGAGCTTTGAGAACAAAGGCCTGTGTGGTCTCCTTCCCTTGCAAACTGCAGGCCCCTCCTCTCCCAGCCCACCAGCCTTGATGGGGTAAGTGGCCCCTGCCCAGCCTAGCAGCCCACTTCAAGGGCCACTGTCTGTTCAGCCTTAGGCCAAACAGGCAAAAGTGACAGGAACACAAGGCAGATGACAGACAGGTGAACAACTGTGGGGCGCAGACACTGTTTATTGAGTGGCAGGCACAGGAGAGGTAGCTGGCTCCGGTGTGGAAGCGGAGGTGGCAGGTCATGCCAGGGTGCTGTGGGCATCTGGCAGCCAGGGCCATGCCCCCATCCTAGGGGGACGGCACAAGCTCACTATGACAGGAGCAGCAAGGAGCTGGCCAGAGGAGGGGGCAGCCACGACCCCCAGGATCCTGGGCAAGAAGTGGCAAACTTGGCACAGGGGCTTAGGGTGACGGGGACTGGGGCCTGGGTATTCTGTGGGGGAGGGAAGGGGATCACGTCTGTGGGGTGGAGTAGAGACTGTGGTGGTGGCCGCCTGGTCCTGGCACCTGGGAGAAGAGCAGAGGAGTGGTCTTCGTCTGGCTGCCCCCATACCAGCCCGGCTCACGCCCGATGGCGCCATACCAGCTCCCAGAGCCTAGACTGCCTGACATACTGCAGCAGAGAAACAGGGTCAGTCTCAGGACAGTGACCAGGGCCACAGTCACAAGAGCTGCAGAAGGAACAGAGGCTTAGAACAGAACCCCTGTGACCTAGACCTTCGGGGCCCAGGGCAAAGTACATCTCTAGGCAAGGGATGGAGGCTTTAGCCATAGGAACCCAGGGGACCTCACCTAGTACAGATGGGGAAGCAAAGGCCATGGCAGGGGTGGAAGGGCAAGACCCGGCTCTCTCAGTCCCCCATAGCTCGATGGAGCCAAGTGGGTGGAGGGGGGCAGGGGTACTGAGGCAGTGCCATGGCTCCTACCTGGTGCTCTCACCCCGGCTGTGCTCCCAGGAGCAGCCCTCATCTTCACAGTGCCCAGCCCGGTCAAAGAAGTAGGACCGGGAGGCAAAGACCTGCCCATTGAGGATGTGGCTGGTGCTCTGGAGGAGGAAGCCATCATCGATACTTACTCCTGTCCCACACTGTTCTCCCTGCCCATCCCCAGATGCTAACCCAGGATTCCCAGCATCTGCCCCTCTCCACTGGGCCCACAGGGGAGGGTGCAGACCCTTACCACGTCCTGTGGGGGCCGGTGTACCCGGAAGAAGCCCACCAGCAGGGTGGTGGGCAGCAGCTCCCACACGAAGAGGATGAGGCCAAATACCAGGTAGCCTTTGTTCCCCAGGTCATTTACCAGGTCCGCCTGTGGGAAGGCAGGGGCTGGTGCCAGTCTGCAGTCACGCCAAGGGGGCAGTGGGACAGGGCCCAGGCCAGCTGGGGCCAAGGTGCCATGGCTACTAAGGAGGTGGCAGACATGCGTATGCCCACCTGATCAGACACATTGTACCAGTCGTAATCGAAGGTGTCCAGCCGGCTCTGGGGGGCCAAGGCCAGTGCTGTCAGGTTGTAGCAGGCCCGGCTGGCATAGAGCAGGACCATGGCTCCACCCATCGCGGCCGCCTGGCACACACTGGTCCCCTGGCACAGGTAACAACAGAGGACCCTCAGGGAGAGAAGGCTCCCAGCATCCTCTACACCCTGAGAACCGCTGCCCAGAGATCCCAAAGGACACCTGGGCATCAGTGCTGCGGCCCTACCTTGGCCTCCAGGTAGATGCTAGTGGAGGGGGCCCGCCTGGCGACGAGGCAGAGGCAGGCAGCAAGAGACAGCGCACAGATGACGAACAGGGAGTCGCTCACCAGGACGCGGACAAGCAGCAGGGCCCAGGGCTGTGCCCGGCGCCGATGGGAGAGCACAGCACACAGCACGTTCACCAGCAGAAAGAGCAGCGAGGCCCCCACAAAGGCCCCTCGGACAGCCAGCCTGCAGCCACAGCACAGTCAGCCCGGGCCCTCAACAGCCCTCAGCACTTACCACCTGCCCCACCTCCTGCAGGAAACCCCAATGTCCACAGAACTCGGGGCATCCAGTCTGAGCCCTGTTCCTCCATTCTTATAGATGGAGAAACTGAGGCTCAAAGAGGTCAGAAGGTGACTGACAACCATGGTACCTCGGAAGGGGCACCAACTGGAGTCAGAAGTCTCCGTCTGAGCCCCAGCTCTGCGACCTTGATCCTGATGCCTTACCTGGCTGGGCCTCAGTTTCTTCATCTCTCAAGGGAGGAGAGTAGCCTCTCAGGGAAATTGTACAAATGAAAGATGGCTGGGAAAGCTCTTTATAAACCGTAAGACACTGTACAAATGACGAGGGCATTGCGGCCCCAGGTCACCCAGGAGTGCATATGGCTTTGGTGCTTCCATGGGCTGGAGCCTCCAGCTCACCCTCCATGGTGGATGCCACTGGGTTCCTCTCCCTCACACTACCACAACCATTCCTATTCTTGTGCCTTGCAGATCTGCAACGCCTCTGCTGAGCCATCTGCGCCAGGTGCTTTAACTTTTCCAAGCTCTTCCACAGACATTCCCTGGGTTGTCTTTGTCTCAGCCCTGAGAGGTGGGAAGGGATCTACATGGGACTGTCCCCTGCCCCTGACCTGGAGGTTGAGCCCACCAGTGTCCCGAGTACTTACAAGCCTCGGCTCATCTCCGGCCGACGCTTCGCCTTGGCCTTGAACACCACCTAGGAGCAGAGATGCCCTTCACTCCCGTGGGTCCTTAAGGCTTGCCACCTCCCACCTCCCACCCGGGACCACAGTTGGTTACCTGGGCAAAGTAGAGGTTCATAAGCGTCAAGGTGAAGAACTGCAGGCAGACGGGGCAGCAGTAGAGAAGCCAGAAGGGCAAGGGCCCCAGGCGGTTGGCGCGGGGAGTATCTCGGAAGTAGAAGGAGAAGAGAGTGGTACGCAAGGCAGCCCAGAGCAGACAGAGGGCCAGGAACACCGTCTGATAGCTGAGACGCTTGTGCCCATACAGAAGCACCAGCCAGAGCTGGGCATAGACGGAGAAGAAGAGCAGGGCATACAGGGTGGTGTAGGCAGCCGTCAGCCCCAGGGTCACAGCAGGTGGCAGTGCAGGCACCAGCCCGGCAGCAGGCACCAGGCCAGACAGGTTACTCTCCATGTCAGGGAGGGAGGCCTGAATCCCGGAGACAGAGAAGGAGGGGCTGTCGGCAGGGCCAGGGAAATAAATACGGAGGGCTGGGAATTGCAGGGTGCAGAGAGGGAGATGGGGCGCTGAGGAGGAAAGAAGTTGTGGCTGACAGGCCCCTCCTCCTCAACAGAGAGACCCTTGCCCTTGGGGAACACGGACAGCCTGGGCCCCAGGCCCCTCACTCAGGGGCATGGAAGGGCAGTCTCTTCTCTCCAGGGCAGACCGGGTGGGGGTTGGGGGTGTCTCCTCCCTGGGCCTACCCCAGAGCCAGGGATGGGGGGATGCAGAGGCCCAAGGAGAGGAGTCCCTGGCCTCGGTCGCTCGTGTCGTCCTGGCTGGAGGGGGAGAGCCAGCCGATGCCCGTCGGGTCAGGGCAGTGGCCGCTGCAGGGGGCGCCCAATGCCCCGCTCTCCCCCTCCCCAAGCTGGGGGAGGCTCTCCTCCAATAATGCGGATGGGGAGGGCCTCTGCCTTCTGTCCTCGTAATTCTCGAAAGCTGCCCCCCGCCCCACCCCCCCCACCGCGTCCACTCTCCAGCCTCAAGGGGCGGGAGGAGGCGGATGCCAGGTCCTCAGGCCGCTGATGGGAGAGCCGGCTCAGGTCGTGGGGACCCGGGGCTCCGGCTCCCCGGCTCCCGCTGCTCCGCCCCCTCCTGCGCCTGCGCGGGCGCTGTTCGCTACGCAAATTGCGCAGGGGCCCGACCGACTCCGCAGTCCAGCGCCGCACCCGGCGTGAAACCGTACGAGAATTGGCGCGAGCTGCGCCGCTGGCGGGCGCCCGGGGTTACGGGAGGCGGCTGGAGGGCGGCCGAATTGCGGGGGCCGTGCCGCATCCAGGGGTTCCCCGGGTGGGCTGTGCCTGGGCGGTCCGCCTTAACTTGTATGGGGGGCCGCCAGTTCCCACGCTCCTCTCTCCTATACCCAAATCGGGGTCGTGCCACCCAGCCGGGGGCGGCAACGGATTCCCGTCTCTCGGCCTCTGAAGAAAACTTCCGCCCATAGCCAAGATGGCCCCCGGGCCCCGCCCCCGGGCCTGAACCCGCGGAGCCCCGAATCCCCAGCGCGGGCCCGCCCCCCGCCCCGGCGCGCCCGTGGCCCTGCTCACCTGGCCGGCCGCCTGCCAGGCGTGAAGCCCCCACGGACCCTACGGTCCACCCTCACCGGGTCCCCGGCCCTCCTCCCGCGCCCGGGCAGCCATCCCAGCCAGGGAGGAGGTTCCTCTCCTTATCTCCAGTGCCCCCGAGGTGGCGCGGGAGGTGTCCCCCGAGGCGGGCGGCGCGAAGCTTCCACGCCTGGGAGGAGGAGCGGGGAGCGGGACTTTCCGACCGGGCACCCAGTCCAGGCGGAGCGGTAACAATAGCAACAATAATCGCATCCGACGGCTGAGCTTCAATTGTGGCTGTGCCAAGCGCCTTCGCCCGCAGTAATCACTCCCTTCACAAAGTTTTCACTGGCTCCTGGGGGAGCTGTCACTATCCCCACTTCACTGGGGGGAAACTAAGGTCCAGAGGGGCTGAAGGACTTGTTGGCAGAAGTGGGTCTCCAGGTTCCAAATGGGGACCCCAGAGAATCCCTCTCCTGCTCCCACACACGTCCAAGGTGTGAGGCAGCGAGGATGTGAGCACCAGGGCCGCAGGAGGGAGAAAAAAGGCTGCGGGCGAGTAGCCGTAGGTCCGGCGGGGGGGCGGGGCCGGGCCGGGTTGACCCCGCCTCTGGACCTACCCGAGTGACGTTCCGAGAGGTGATTGGGCCAGGTCGCTGACAGTTCCCGTTGCCCAAGCAACTAGGGCCGGGAGCCCGGGGTGCAGGAGGGAGGCGGCAGGCCCGGGTCAGGGGCCTCGAGATCGGGCTTGGGGTGAGACCTGTGCGCCGTCACCACGGGCGGGGCGGGTCCTGGGTAGGGGCCTGGGTCCACCAGGGTTCTGAGGGGAGATTGAGGCCCTGAGCCGACAGCATCAGCTCCCTGCCAGGCCAGACCCAGCAGACAAATGAGGGCCCGGGAGGCCTGGCGGGCCTGGGGGCCCTAGGGTGGGAGAGGGAGCCAAGGGTACCTGCCTCTGCCTTCCAGGGCCACCGTTGGCCCCAGCTGTGCCTTGACTACCTAACATCTTGTCCTCATAGCCCAGAGCATGTTCCAGATCCCAGAGTTTGAGCCTAGTGAGCAGGAAGACTCCAGCTCTGCAGAGAGGGGCCTGGGCCCCAGTCTCGCGGGGGACAGGCCCTCAGACTGCGGCAAGCATCATCGCCAGGCCCCAGGCCTCCTGTGGGACGCCAGTCACCAGCAGGAGCAGCCAACCAGCAGCAGCCATCATGGAGGTAAGTACCCCACCACCTCCACCTGCCGGGTCACCTCACCCCCAGCCCACTGGCTCCCTGCATCCCAGTTGTATCCACGGACACTGAAGGCTTTGGGTCGGTCCCTAACCTCTCAGAGCCCCAGTTTCCTCTTTTGTAAAACAGAGCAATTAATAACCACCATTGTAGGACTGTTGAGTTAATTAGCAGGAACATATAGGATGCACTTGATTACAGAGCTGGTGCACATTAAAGCTAAAAAATGGTAGCTGCCAGGCATGACGGATCACACCTGTAATCCCAGCACTTTGGGAGGCCAAGGCAGGAGGATCGCTTGAGCCCAGAAGTTCAAAGCCAGCCTGGGTGACTTAGGGAGACTCCATCTCTTAAACTATATATATGTGTATATATATATATATATATATATATATGGCAGCTATTAGTGTGGGGCCAGGACAGAAATTAGTGACAGGCAGGCAGGCAGTGATCCGAAAAGGAAAAGGGGCCTACCTAAGGCCATACCTGCCTGGCATTTCTTTCCTTAGAAGGTGGGGCTGGAAGACTCCTTGCTGCCCTGCCCCAGGCTCCATGCTTTCCCTGGGATTGGGCCTTCCAGCTCCCAGATGTGTTCTTTCTTGCCCCGAGGCTCGCACCCACAGCAGGCCTGTCCTGGCACAAAGGCCAGGGGCAGGTGACCTCAAGGGGCAGACGGTCCTCCCAGACAGCAGGGCTGTGTGGGGTGGGAAGCACAGGCTCCAAGATGGAAGGATAGACACTGGGGTTCAGTGTCCATTTCTCAGTAGGCTCCACCACCCCTGTGCCCAGCACTGGCCTTGGCACCTGGAACAACAACATATATCTTCTGAACACAAAAACCAGGTCAAGCCAGGTGGGGTGGCCCATGTCTGTAGTCCCAGCAACTCAGGAGGCTGGCTTGAGCCCTGGAATTCAAGACCAACCTGGGCAACATAGCCAGACCCCGTCTCTAAAAATAGAAAACTAGGTCATGTCACTCTGGCACTGAAGCTTAAACGACCTCCTTCCCATTTTCAGGATTAAGAAGGCTTAAGAGGCCTCCTTCCCCTCCCTCTCTTACGCACAAACACACACACTCGATTCTCTCAGATTGGATCCCATAGCTTGCTTTCTTTTGTTGTTGTTGTTGTTTTGTTTGTTTTGAGACAGGGTCTCGCTCTATCACCTAGGAGGGAGTACAGAGGTGTGGAGTACAGAGGTGTGATCTCAGCTCACTGCAGCCTAGAACTTCTGGGCTTAAGCAATCCTCCCACCTTACCCTCCCAAGTAACTGGGAATACAGGTGTGTGGACTACACCTAGTTAATTTATTTTTAACTTTTTCTTTTTTTTTTTTTTGAGAGGGAGTCTCACTCTGCCACCCAGGCTGGAGTGCAGTGGTGCAATCTCAGCTCACTGCAACCTCCGCCTCCTGGGTTCCAGCAATTCTCCTGCCTCAGTCTTTCAGGTAGCTGGGACTACAGGCATGTGTCACCATGCCCAGCTAATTTTTTGTATTTTTAGTAGACATAGGGTTTCACCATGTTAGCCAGGGTGGTCTCTATCTCCTGACCTTGCCCAAGGTGTTGGAATTACAGGCGTGAGCCACCACGCCCGACATTTTTCATGTTTTCATTAGAGATGAGGGCAGGGGCGGGTCTCCTTTTGTTGCCCAGGCAGGTCTCAAACTCCTGGGCTCAAACAATCCTCCTGCCTCAGCCTCCAGAACAGCTGGGACCACAGGTACATGCTGCCACACCAGCTCATTTTTTATTTTTTGTAGAGGTGGGGTCTTGCTTTGTTGCCCAGCCTGGTCTCGAATTCCTGGGCCCAAGCGATCCTCTCATCTTGGCCTCCCAGAGTGTTGGGATTACTGGCGTGAGCCACCATGCTCGGCCTCCACAGCTCTCTTTAACTTCCTGAGCTTGCACTTGGCTGTTTTTCTGCTCACAAACTCCCCCTGCTTTCTGCCCCCCGCCACACACACTCAGCATTGACTCGTGTCTCAGAGTGAGTGTTCACCATGTGACACAGGTTGTTCCAGTTGCTAGGGGGACCTCGGTGAACCCAAGCATCAGGAATCCTTGCCCTCATGGAGCTTACATTCTAGTGACGTGGTGGGTCCATAAGCAAACAAGCACAAAAGTGCATCCTATCATGGATGAGAAGATTTGTATGGGGGCAGCATGTAAGAGTTAAGAGAAGCTGGGCG